CAAAAAAAAAAAAAAAATACAGATAAAGCTTTGCTCGTTCACCTGCTGTTCACCTCCTACTGTGTGGCTCTAATGGGCCATGGACTGGACAGAGACATGGCCCAGTACTCAGCCCAATACATGGGCCTGGGGGTTGAGGACCACAAAGTTAAATGACCTGCTCCAGCTTTGGTTTCCTCATCTGCAAAAAGGGGATCTGGTGCCTACTTATGTGAGTGGGAGTGAGGATTCAATTAACTCAAGCAATGTGGGTTAAACATCGGGCATATATCAGTCCTCAGTAACGTGGGGTCCCTTTCAGGTACCCTTTCCTCTACCACTTCTCTGGACCTAAAAGATCCTTGCCATTCTAGCATTTGGTAGTATTACCTCTCCCTGGTCAGCCTGGTTAAACCTCCTAATGCTGAATTAAGCCCTGCAATATGCATATCTAGTGTTCTTAAATATTCTAGCCCAGAAAAAGATTTTCTTTTCCTTAGCTAAGAACCATTTGAGGGCCATATACAAGTAAAAAGTTATTTAGTTTTCCTCCTCTCAGAGAGAAAAATATAACATGTCACACTTACTAATATTTAAAATTAAGAGCAGGGAACATAAAACTTTATTCACTACAAGAGCAGCAGCCCAGAGGGAAATGATCCTGTGGACTGAATCAGCACTGAGCTGAGCAGCAGAGCCTCGGGGACAAACAAATCAAGCACAGAGCTTGGCCCCCAGGCACAGAGAGACCCAAGGGGCCGTCCCAGTGATGAGGAAGAGGTGAGACAGAGGATGGTGTTTGCTCAGAGTCCCCAGAGCATCTCATCTGAGTGCCCAAGGACACACTACCTTTAACATTAACCAGTTCTGCTATTTTAATCTACATTTACCCTGTGCCAGGTCCTGGGCTGGGCACTGAGGTTCCTGGAAAAATGACAGTCTTGGATCTTTAGGGGAAGCCCTGGGAGGAAGGAGCCCAAGAGGACAGGGAAAATGGGGCTAGTGAGGTTCCCTCCTTGTCAAGCTGAGAGGTAGGCAGCTAACCGAGAGCTGGGGCTCCGTTTACAATCTGCTGAGCCTGTATTGGTATAACTTGTACTGTGAGGCTTTTGAGATGTCTTGTGACCTTGTGAGTTTCCCCTTCTTTGGTGCCTTTGCCCCCTGTAGTGACAAGCAGTTGAAAAAAAAAAACATAAAACACTCAGAAGGGCAGAGCTTGCTCAGGGATCTGCAGACAGGGCAGAGGCAGAGGTAGGGGGGTGCAGGGAGAGGGAGTGGGGACCTCAGGCAGAGCAGGGCGGGGGGGGGGCTCCAAGCCCCACCTGGGAATTCCCCTGGGACAGTGTGCTCTTGCTAGCAGTCTTGCAGTAAATCATAAAGGTCCCTAAAGAGAGCCCAGACCCCTTTCCCCTGGTTGTCAGCCCCAGACCGAGAAGCCCACAAGCCTTGGGGAGGGTGCAGGACTCCAACACCCTTTCCACAAGGTCCTGCTCTACTGACCTCGGATCTGCAGGTTGGAGAAGGTCTGCACAGGAATGGTGATACTGAAAGAAAGCAGAGGGAAATGGATGGCCAGGCTGCCCTGGGACACTCCCAGGCTGGGCCCTGGCCCAGAGTCATCATGACAACCTCAAAGCCATTTTCCTTTCCAGGAAATCTGACTCCATCCCTAGCAGCCAACATACTCTTTGGAGCTCTGGAAATCTTCAAGGGGCTTGAGTGTTACCTGCAGGGGCAGCGTCTCTATCCAAAGGAAGATGACAAAGGGAGGGGAAATTGATGAAGAAGAGAAGGATCCAAGGAAGAGAAGAGATGGTTCAGGTGAAAAGAAGTCCAATCTCTGTTTAGAGGTTGGGGAGTGATCCTCTTAGTTTGGGGGGTGGTCCCCCAAGTCCTTGGCCCTGAGACTTAATACTGGTTAAATCCAATCATTCGTTTATCAAACATTTATTGAATCCATACTGTGTGTTAGGCGTGCACTGTGCTGGGCATTGGTGTGGGAGGAGGGCTGAATACGAGACTGAATGAGACTCAGTTCCTGAAGAAGAACCTGTGGAGGGAACAGGGAGAATTCCCCCGGACTGTGACCCGGGCTCACCGGTTCTCCTCGCCCTCCAGCAGCTTTCTGTAGGTGGCGATCTCGATGTCCAAGGCCAGCTTGACGTTGAGCAGGTCCTGGTACTCCTGCAGGTGGCGTGCCATCTCATCCTTGAGGCTCTGCCCCTCCTCCTCCAGCCGGGCCAGCGCCTCCTGGTAACCCGCCGCCTCCCGCGCGTGGCGCTCCTCCTGCTCACGCATCTGCCTCTCCAAGGACTCGTTCTGCGGGACGGAGCGGGCAGATTTCTCGGGGGCCCTGCCTGGCGCTCGCGCCTGACACCACTCCGAGGCTTACAAGTCCCTCCCCAGTCCCAGGCCCCGCCCCGCGGTAACTTTTCAGAGCCCCAGCACCTCCAGTGATGGCCAGTCCCCTCCTCCGCCCGCCGGGTCCAGCCCTACCCGCTCTCACCGTGCCGCGCAAGGATTCAAGGTCGCAGGTCATGGCCTGCAGCTGGCGCCGGTAGTCATTGGCCTCATGCTTGGCCTGGCGGAGCAGGTCGGCGTTTCGGGCGGCCGCGTCTGTGAGGTCCGCAAACTAGATGGGGAGAGGATCGGAGGCTGAGGACAGCCGGAGGCCGCGGGGTTGCAGGGGGTGAGGGGCACTATATATGGGGAAGCTGTGTGGGCAGGAGGTGTCTGGGAAGTCAGGGAGGTGGGCAGGACCCCAGGGCACTGGCCCTGGCTGGGATCATTCCCAGAGTAGCCAGAGTGACCACAGAGTAGCCACTGCTGGACCTCAGCACCTAGCACAATGCCTGGTTAGCCAACGAATGAACAGTGCCACAGAATCTAGAACCTTCTGCACTGGCAGCTCAGTCTGAAGCTTGTCCTCACTGGGTTCTGGCGGAGCCCTGGGTTCTTGGAGTCTCTTCGCCCCCAGCCTGCAGGGAGCCCCTCACAGCTGCGCCAAGCAGGGACCCTGCTCAGACTGTAGGTGGCTTCTGTTGTTCATGCTCCCCAGCTTGGTACTCTGGGCCACGATCTCTGCGCCCTGCTTCTCTGCTTTTCTGCTTCCAGACCTTCATGCAAGCTCTGTTGTGCACTGGTAGTGCCCCCTCCCTCTCCTCTTTATGCCCATAGCCTGCCTGCCCTGCCTAGCCCAAAGGCCCGTCTACCACATCTTCCCTGGTTCCCACCCTACACATTAACTCTGTGCCGCGGTGTTCTCTGTCACACCATCATGTCTTCTTGGTCAAACACCTCTCTGTGTCCCAGGAAGTATCTGTCATACAGTAGATGCCCAGTAACCCAGAACACAGACAGGCAATGGTGTAGAGTGCAGGTTCCCAAGAGAGATAGGTTAGGATTGGAAACCCAATTCTACCACTTAGGAGCTGTGTGACTTTAAGCAAATCAGTTAACCTTACTGGCTTCAGTTCTCTTATCTGTCAAAGAATGGTACCTACTTCATAGTAAATAATCCATGCAAAGCACAGGGTCTGACACATGACAAAATTGGCCAATAATAATAGTAATAGTAGCAGTAATAATAATGAATACTTTTGGGAACATACTGGCTGTGTGACCCTGGGCAAGTTATCTCACTTCTCTGGTGAAGATAAGTTGCCCAAAAAAGATATTCTCCCAGCTACTTCTACCCTCCTTCCCCCATTCTCTTGTATGAAGCAAGGAGGGCTGCCTGGAGGAGGCAGGTTGGCCCACAGGCAGGCCTACCTTGGACCGATACCATTCCTCTGCCTCATGCATGTTGCTGGATGCCACTGCCTCATACTGCGTGCGGATCTCTCTCAGGGCTGCTGTGAGGTCTGGCTTGGCCACATCCAGCTCCACATGGACCTGCTGTCGGGCCAGCTGCTCCTGGAGTTCCCGAACCTCCTGGCCAAGGGGAAAGAGGGGGTCCCAGGGTTCAGAACCCAGCCCACAACTGGGCTTCCCCACAGCATCGTGCCCTCTCTGCCTGCCTGTGGGCCATGGGCATGGCTCAGGGAAACAGTGCAGGCCTTGTTGGAAGAAGTGGTATGGTTCGGGCTGAAAGAGGCAGGAGGTAGCTTGAGGGTCTTCTCATGCATCCTCCTGGCAAGGTTGGATGGGGAGAAGCCTGGTGCTAAAAATGTGCTGGTGTTTTCATGGGCGAGTGAATGCATCCCTATGGGTGTGTGTGCTGTGGGTCCCCAGGTTCTCTGGGACCATGGATTCTGAATCCAGGGTCTGAGGTCAGGGCTCAGGAGGTTTTTTTTTTTTTTTTTTTTTTTTTTAATGAATGGCTCTCATTTTAATGGAGACAGATGGCAGAGGGAACGGAGTCAGAGAGACTATGTGACCTTAGTGCATTCTTTTTTTTTTTTTGCAGTGTTTGGCTGGGGCTGAGTTTGAACCTACCACTTCTGGCATATGGAGCTGGCGCCCTACTACTCCTTTGAGCCACAGGCGGTCCCCTTTAGTGCATTCTTTAACTTCTCTGGGCCTAAGTGTCTTCCTCTATGAAAAGGAGCTTAGTACTAGAATTCCTATCTCGCAGGGCTATGAGGCAGTAAGGTCTATGTACTTCTTTTTTTTTTTTTTTT